CCCCGAGGCAGCGCGCGCACGCGAGGGGGGTAGGAGGAGAAGGAGGGAACACGCCAGAGGTTTCTGAATGTCTCCAGGGCCCTTCTGGAGGCCCAACTATCCCAGAGAAAATCCGATCAGTGGTTCGCACGGCGAAAATTTAAACAGCGTGCTCGTGGCGGGCAGGAGCAATTGCTGACGAGTGTGGTTCTTTCTGCGCTTTGTTCAGTACTCGCGATTCTCTACCCTCCACTCTTGTGATCTTTGCCATCAGTTGTCTACTCTCTAATTTCTAATTTCTCCTCCCCCCTCTCGACTGTTTGCTCTTTGCTCTTTACTCTGCACCCTCCCCCTCTTCCTTGCGCACACCTCCACCCGTTATTCTTCACTCCCCAACGTCCCCCTTTACTTTTTACTCTCGCTCCTTCGCTCTTGGCTCTCTACTCGATGCTCTCAGCCTTCCGCTTCAAGCGCTCCGCGTTCTGCTCCACGCACCACGCGTTCTTAACATGAGCACCCTGGCAGCCTGGACTGGTCCCCCCTTCCCCCCCTTTCCCCAGCAGGGTCACCCTGGCAGCCACCCCAGCAGAGCTGAAATTCAGGCTGTAGCTGTTAATTCACATGCCAGATCGGCGAATTCTGATGAAGGTGGTGGTGATGATGATGACTGGGTGGGCAGAGGATGAGTAGGAGGAAGAGGAAGGGGAGCAAAACCACAGGAAGAGGAGGAAGAAGGGGTTGGGCAAGAGAGAGGGAGGAAAAGGAGGAAGAGCAGGGGTAACATGTGAGGACCCCGTATACGGCGTTACCAGGTCGGCAAGGAAGCAGCAATGGGCGACCTCGTCCCGCAAATAACACCAATCATGGATGCAATCCACGTGCGCCCCAAACGGGTTAGATTCAAGCGGTGCGTTGATCCGTTTCCACACACTTTTCTTGGACAGGTTGCCTCGTTCGAATTCTTGACGCCCCGCATGTCCCCACAAACCCATTCACAAACAGTCACCACGCGAGTTGCCGTCATGGGGGATGTGTAGCAGCATGCAACCCAGGAGTGAACCACATTTGTCTTCGCGGATGTCCCGCTGCAGCGAAAGGTGCAATCTGAAAGCCCGAAACTCGTAGATGTGCCGCAGCAGGTGTCAACGAAGCTGGCACCATGAGGCTATCTGCCACTCTGCAATCTTCCCTGCGGTTCTCCTCGTTGCCCTCTCGCCCCGGCCACCTTCCTCGTGTGGACGTGGGGGTTGAGGAATGGGGGGATGGCAACGGGGAGGATGGGCTGGAAGACGGGGGCGAAATCGGAGGACTAGATGGGCACAGCCACGGGTCTTCACGCTGTGTGGGCGGCCGCCAGGGTCCTGCCCCGAGCGGCGGCCCGGCAGAGCGACTGGCGTGCCCATGGGGCGCGGGGCGATTCCGAAGCCGAGCGCGTCCTGCCAAGTCGGGCAGGGTCGGGCCGGGGCGGGTATCGCGGCGTTCGCATTCTCCGAGGCGTCCGGCGCACACCGCCCGCCCAGTCCAGGTCGCGCCGGACGGGGCGAAGACGGCCCCAGTACGGGATGCGAGCATGCCGAACATGGGGCAGTACCCTCGCGCGGGCGCGCCGGCCACCTCGCTTCGACGCCGCGGTGGTGCGCCTGGCCGCGACGACCGGAAAGTGTGTGTGTGTGTGTGTGTGTGTGTGTGTGTATGTGTGTGTGTGTGTGTCCGTTCGCTTTGGGTTGAGCTTGCTCAGTTTTCTGGCCGTTTTTTTTTTTGTTTGTTTTCGTTTTCTGTTTACATGCCTTCTAGTCCACCACCCATCGTTTGCATCCCAGTTTTCGACGTCTTGTTCATTATGCTTTCGACTACGCTCGATTGCAATTCGCGCTTCCATCTGCTGCCCGCGCTTGAGGACCATTTGCGCCGCTGGCTCAAAAAGTGCGTGGTGTGTGTCCCTGACGTCGATGCTTTTGCACCGCCCCCCCTCCCCTGCTTCCTGCTCTTCCCTCTTGTCCTGAAGGCGCCAGTGCATGTGTTTTGTAAGAGCCACTGCGTCTCTTGCTCCGCGACTGCGTCTCTCATACGTCGCTGCGCACAGCCCATGCGACCTAGCCGCCAGAGGTGCCAGCGCTCATTCTGCGCCCCGGCCTCGTGACACGTAGCGCGTGCCCCTCGTGTTGCCACGTGCGTCCGGTGCCTTCTCGCGACTTTGCCTGTTTAGGCGGCGTCGCACCTTCAGCTCGGCTCTGCCGACAGCCCCGCGACACTCCCAGAGGGCTGTCGCGTGTCGCCCGGGTCTCTCGGAGGGCCGTCGAGCAGATCGGGCGCGCCGCGGGCCGAGTCTTCGCCCATGGCGGCGCCGTCGTGCTACCGTTCGAGCAGTGGCGCGCCTCGCACGCAGCTGCTTGCTTCTGTGGACGTGTATCCTGGGCAGCTGTATTTTGCCCAGCTGCGGGGATCTTCGGCGTCTCGTAGGTCAAGCGTGCGGCTTCGGTCTGCTGTGTTGACCGATGTCCGTCGTGCCGGCCATGGCACGACCGCGCGTCTCCTCGCGCTGGCTTTGCTTTCCTGGCCTTCTCCCATTTTTGTTTGCGATGGCGGCGGTGGTTGGGTGGTCGACCCTCCGCTCATCGGTGCCATCATAGGGGCACATTGTAGTTGTTGCTTACCTCTCGCGCGGCGTTTGCTCAGGTTGAGTTTGTTGCGGGCGGCATCGCATGCGCTTGACTCTTGGTCGGGTCGGCTGCACTCTCGTTTGTCAGTGTCGGCGGGTGTTGGGCTGGGTTGCTGACTCACCGCGCCGGTTGTCCTTTTACGGTTGCGCGGTGGACAGGATATTTGGTCACCTCACCATCTGTCTGGCTGTTCAGTCCTGTGGCGTGACAGTGGACTTGGACCTGCGTTCTGTTCTGTTTGTTGTCCCGTCTTGGGTTCGTGCCCATTTGGAAGGAATATGGACGCATCGGATCGTCGACCCGTTTCCTCTTTGGGTTTCGCTGTCGTGGTGCTGCTGCATGTAAGTCCAACGTTCCGCCCATTATCGAGATGGCTTGCGATGTCGGTTCGTAGATTCACACCCTACCAATTTGCTTTGTCGGGCCGTGCTGGGTCAGCGTTTTTTTGTTATCCCACCTAGTGACTGGTCTGGCAACTATTTCTTTTTTCCTGCGGTGAATCAGTGGCCGCCAATTTGCAGTAGACTGCTTGCGCTTCAGTTTACTTCGAGTTGAATGCCCTCCTAGGTTACCTGGCCGCTGCATGCTTTGTTTGGATTTGCAGTTCCTCTTTCACCACCCATTGCTGCACTTTTCAGTGTGCGATGCTTCGTACACCTGTGCCTTCGAAGATGCTCGCAATTCGCACTTCCATCTGCTGCCCGCGCTTGAGGACACTCTACGCCCCCGACTCACAAGTGTGTGTGTGTGTGTGTGTGTCTGTGCGTGTTGGTTCTCTGTGCTTATTCCGTTCCAGTATGCCGCTCTGCTTGCGAGGCAGACGCCCGCTTCCGACGCCAGCCCCGTCGCCGCTGCTCGGGCTCAGGTCTTTCTTTGCTCGGGTTCGCCTGAAGACGGAGACCGTCTCGTTTCGCACGCCGCGATTACGGGACGAGCTGGTGGTGGCCTCGATCAGTGTACGATGTGTTCCTTTCTGGAAAAACTGATTTCATTAATGATTGCGTTCGGCGGGTCGGCGGTATCAGCCACAGCCTCGCTCACTGCATTTCATGGGGTTTCTGTTGAACAAACCTGGAGGTCTCAGGGACATGTATTAATTCGCCGATCCAGCTATCATCGCTTCAAATTGTGTTTGTGTGCGTGCGTGCGTGCGTGCGTGCGTGCGTGTGTGTGTGTGTGTGTGTGTGTGTGTGTGTGTGTGTGCGTTTTGTATTTGTTCCCGCGCTCCATTTCTTCTCCGTCCCATTGCCGACAGGGCTCAGGCATGCCGCGCGTGGATGATCGATGTTCGTCACTGTTACCGACGGATCAGTGTCATGGGCGCTGGCTATGTGGACCGTTGCCCCTTCTCGATTGCAGGATGCCCGAGATAGCCAGAGCATCGGCCCGCAAGGCGCCAACAAGGGCAGGAGGAGGCCACAGAAAGGGCCCCAAAGGGGTCAAGATGGGCCCGAGGCGGCCCAGGCGCGCCGGTAGACGGCCCAAGCACGAACATCCCCATGTTGGGCCCCAGCCGCGTCTGACCTTGCGCAGACAAAATGGGCCGGGATCTGGGCCAGTTTGGGACCCGCTGTGGGGCCGAAACTGGGCCAACCATCTTCCAGAATGGATTCCGAAACGTGTCCAAACACAGCGTTGGAATTTCCATGCTCGAGAATGTTCCACACGAGCCCAAAGGTCAGTTCTAAAACGCGTCTGGGTGACCGTTGAGGAGACACAAATCGTCAAAAACCCATCGGTCTTTGATGTATTTTTGCCAGCCATCCTGTGGTGTTGGGTCCTCACTTTGAAGAGAAATCCCCGCGTCCACTCTCCTCTCCTCTCCTCTCCTCCTGCTCCTCCTGTTCCTCCTCCCGTCAGGCGTTGTGGTCCGAGGCGCCGCATTTGGGGCCAGCAGCCCGATCGACTACGACCCCAGCCCCGAGAGAGAGAGGGGCGCAGCTGCGGGACGGGCGCGCGGCCGCGATCGCGCTCGCCCGCGTGGCATCGCCGTGAGAGGCGAGGCGCAAGCGGGCAGAGTCCCGATTCCGACTGAGACGAGAGAGGGACATCGCCCGTCTCGAGGCTCATCACGGGAGCATGGCGCCAGGCGAAGCAGCGTGGACGACTTGCAAGAAGCGCCAAACCTGGTGGTGGCACGCCACCCTCGGGCGCAATGGCGGCCGGTGCAGCTGCGGATGCCGTGTGGCTAGGCCCGAGACGGGCAAACCCCAGCAGTGGCAGCAGAAACGCCAGTAGCAGCAGCAGTCCAACTGGTGGCAGCAGCAGCAGCAGCAGCAGCAGCAGCAGCAGCAGCAGCAGCCCATCGGCGAGCGTGCGAGACCCCGTGGCGGAGGAGGCACCAGCAGCGGCGACGCCAAGGCTGGCGGCGTCGCCCAGCTAGCATCGGCTCTGAAGACGGTCGCGGAGTCCATTGGCACGCTGAAGTTCGCCAATGGAGACGCCATCGCAAAGCAGCTCGCGGGCGTCGCGGATGCGCTCCAGGAGGCGCCGGAGACGCAGACCAAGTCGCGCGCTGCGCGCTTGGCTGAGGCGGCGAAAGAGCTCGAGTACGCCAACAAGCAGTACGAGTGGGCGTTCGAGCAGGCGGAGATAGCACAGCAGAAAGCCGAGAAGGCCAAGGCCGCCCCGGAGGAGAGAGCGGACGCGGTCGTGAAGGCTCGGCGCGAGATCGAGGAGATGCAGCAGGGGGGCAAGCCGAACACCAGCCAGCGCAGCATCTTGGAGCAGGTTCTCGACGCGGACGCGGACCTGCTCTCGCCGGGCGACGTGCAGATCGCCGAAGTGGAGCAGGTTTTCGCGCGCTCGGGCGACCTGGGCGAGCGGGGTCGCACGGCGGTCGACGACGCTAAGCGCCGGGTGCTAGGGCAGCTGCAGAGGGGCGCCGGGGGGTTCGCGGGCCAGCTGAAGCAACGCCTCCAAGCGGCAAAGCTGAAGGCGGAGCAGGAGAGAGCCGAGATCCAGCAGGCCTGCAGGAAGAGGAAGGCGGATTCATCGGCAGCGGCGACTGCAGCACCATCAGCAACACCGCCAGCAGCAGCCGCAGCCGCGACCCCAGCAGCAGCCGACGACGACGAGCACGCGGAGATGAAGGAGACGGACCCCGCGGAGGACTACCTCCGACAGCGGCGGACCGCGACGGACTCCTCGGAGGCCCCCGCGACCCGCTGACGGTCACGGCGAGGTGGGGGGGGGCAGTTTGGCGACGACTCCCACCGCGAGCGCCGCATCTTCTGCGCCAACATCGCGCGGTGGGGCCCGACGGTCTTGAGCTGGCTTCGCCGAGATGGAGCGCGGCAGCTGGGCGACGTCTACGCTTTGCAGGGGGCCCGCCTGGCCCACCGCGAGCGCGACAGCACAGTGCGCAAGCTGCAGAAGGCGGGCTTCTCAGCAGTGTTCGCGGCAGCGCGGGCAAGCGACAGGGGCCAGACGGGCGCTTGCGGAGGCGCTGGGGTCCTCGTCAAGGGCTGCCTCAAGGCGACGTCGCATCGGTGCCGGGGGCCGCGCGCTGCAGTTCCGGGTGCAACCTCATCGGGCGCCCGCGGCTCGCAGCGCGACGCCTTCAACGTTTGCGACTGGGCGCCAGTCACTCTGCGCATGCGTGGTTCCTCATCATCTTCATCTACTTGGGCCCGTCCCACCCCGCCGCCAGCGGCGAGAACCCCGGGAAGTTAACGGCGCTGGCGGCGTTCCTCAGCGTTGTGCGCGCACCGTGGGTTCTCTGCGGCGGCTTCAACAGGCCATGTGAAGACATGGTGAAGTCAGGGTGGACAACCGCCCTCGGTCCAACAGCTTACGTCGGGCTCGACACCGACCAGCGCACCTGCTTCCTCGGCGACGCCCCGCCCTCCAACATCGACTACGCGTTGGTCAGCGACGGCGGTCAACGACTCGTTCGAGGAATCCAACTAGTGCGCGACGTACCTTGGCCGCCACACATCGGGCTCGACATCGCCATCAGAGCAGACGTGGGCTCCAACCGCAGCCGGCGACTACAGCTGCCGAAGGCCTCCCCACGCCCAACACTGCCCAATAATACCAAAATGACGAGGAAGGAGACGATGAGACAGAGGAGCGCAATGACCAAGCCCACGACTACGACGCCGTTCGACCGAGACGCCGAGGGCCCTGCACGATGGGAAGCGCTTGCACTGCACGGATGGCAACTCCGCCCAACCGCAGCAACCTCGACCACCCCCACCGCGACGCAGTACGATGGACGAAACCGGTGGCGCCCCCCTCGGCTCCGTGGTCGACGGCCTCAGCGAGTTCGCCCTGCGCCGCGACGCACAACTACCCCAACGCCGCAACTGCGACGCCCGCAACGTGGACTACCTCCAAGGCGCCGCCGAGGATCGAAGGGCCGAGGTCAGCAGCATGGAGAGCACCACCGTGGGGCCCAATTCGGAGTTGAACGATGTCATGGACTGCGCGGGCGCTCGAAAGGCGCTGCAGCAGATGCCGCCGCTCGATCGACTTAGTGCGCGATCACTCGAGATCGACGCCATCAATGTGGACGATGCGTGGGAGGTTGCAGACGAAATGCACCACGGCCCCACCAGCACAGCCCCGCCCTATATCCAGAACTGTGCCGCCTACCACGTCGACCCCGACAGCGCCGACCAGCTAGGCGCGACATGCCGACGCCTCACCAGCACGCTCGAGACGTACTACTACACCGCGTACCACATTCCACTGGAAGACCGCCACCACTTCCTCGGGCGCGGGCAGGCGTGCGAATTCAAGACGCAGCAGACACGGGAGTCCGACCACCACCAGAGATGCGCATCCGACAGGTCCGACTGGTGGGGCCGTGCGGAGAACATCTTCAGCACGCTGGTCAAGCTTCGACAGCGAGCGCACGGACAGCAACGACGCCGCAGTCTACGCGCCGCAAGGCGACGCCTGGTACGTGACGGACCACCACCACTAGAACGCAAAACATCAGACTCGCCGCGACTGCGCCACCATCTCAGCGACGGACACAGCACTGACATGCCCATTGACGTCGCCCAGCCCGAGTCGCGCACAGAAGGACAGCAACCAGTGCAGCGGCGCGGCGGCGAGGAACGCCCGCAGCAGCGCGACGTTGCGTCCAGCGCCAGCGCCAGCAGCGCTCCCAGGACACAACCTGCTGCGAACATCGGCGTGGAGGGGGAGGGCGAGCACTCCCTGCGTCCGCAGGCGGGGGCAGTTGGGAGGTCAGCGAGGAGATGCATTTAGAGGCCCTCGCCCGCGGAGACTGACTGCTCCAACCCAGCAAGACGAGCCGCGCAGCCGGTGCAGTGCCGTCGCTGACTGGGGCGAGACCCCAGCGCCACCTCCAGCCCCAGCGACGGCAGAGGAGAGCGACGTGGACAGCAGAAGGAGATGGGTGCAACGACTCCTCAGCGCCGCGACCAGCCAGCAATTCGTCGGTGAGCAGTAGCACGACGCCGACCAGTGCGACGCACAGCACCCACGGCAGCAACGCCACGGTGACCAGCGCACCGACAGCAGCACCGCTGTGACCGGCACGACGAGCAGCGTGACTGGCATGGGCGATACAGCTACTGCCACCTCCCCTGGAAGGCATGTCGCGCAGGATGCCCAGCACTTCCGTGCCTGGGGCGCTGCGCTGGGTGCCGAGGATCTCGGGGGTGGGCCGCGGGCGTCGCAGAGGGCGTGGTTCCACTCGCCTCCGCAAGACGCGCGTGGAGAAGGGGGCGGCCCCCAGGGGCGCGGTCCACCCGAGCCGAGCCGCGGCGCGTGCGCGGCCCGCGCAGGGCGGGCAGCTCCAACCCAGCAAGACGACGTTGTCGCGGGGCGCAGTGCTGTCGCGAGCGGGGGCGTGGCTCCAACGCCACCGCCGGCCCCGGCGACGGCAGTGGTGAGCGACGGGGAGAGAAGGGGGAGATGGGTGTTGCGACTCCTCGGCACGGCTACTAGCCAGCAACGCAACGGTGAGCAGCGGCGCAACATCGACCGGCGCGACGGGCAGCGCCCACGGCGGCAGCGCCGGCGTGACCAGCGCGTCAGCAGCAGCGCCACTGCGACCAGCACGACGCGCAGTGGGGCTAGACTGGACGATCCAGCTACTACCACCTTCCCTGGAAGGCATGTCGCGCAGGGTGCCCAGCACGCGCGTGCTGAGGGCGTTGCATGGGGTGCTGGGGATCTCGGGGGTGGGCCGTGTCCGACGCAGAGTGCGCGCTCGGCCCCGAGGCTCCGCGCGCCTCCGCGCGACGCGCGTGGAGAGGTGGGCGGCCCCCAGGGGCGCGGCCCACCCGAGTCGCAGCCCGTGCGCGGCCCGCGCGGGGCGGCCGCCGCGGAGAGAGCAGCGGCGCGACGCTGACCAGCGCGACGTGCAACGCCCACGGCGGCAGCGCCATCCAGCGCGCCGTCAGCAGCACCGCTGTGTCCAGAACGACGAGCAGGGGGACTGGCCTGGACGAAGCAGCCACTGCCGCCTCCCCTGGAAGGCATCTCGTGCAGGGTGCCCAGCACTTGCGTGCTGGGGGCGCTGCGCGGGGCGCTGGGGATCTCGGGGGTGGGCCGCGGCCATCGCGGAGGGCGTGCTCGGCGCCGAGGCTCCGCGCGCTTCCGCAAGACGCGCGTGAAAAGGTGGGCGGCCCCCAGGGGCGCGGACCGCCCGAGCCGAGCCGTGGCCCGTGCGCGGCCCGCGCAGGGCGGGCGGCTCCAACCCAGCCAGACGAAGCCGCTTCGGGGCGCAGTGCCGACGCGGGCTGGGACGAGACTACAGTGCCACCGCCAGCCCCAGCGACAGCAGTGGAGAGCGACGAGGAGGGAAGGAGGCGATGGGCGCCGCGACTCCTCGGCGCGGCTACTAGCCAGCAGCGCGACGGAGAGCAGCAACGCGACGTCGACCAGCACGACGTGCAGCACCGACGGCAGCAGCGCCACCTTGACCAGCACGTTATCAGCAGCACCACAGCGACCAGCACGACATGCAGTGGGACTGGTCTGGACGATGCAGCTACTGCCACCTTCCCTGGAAGGCGTGTCGCGCAGGGTGCCCGGCGCGCGTGTGCTGGGGGCGCTGCGCGGGGTGCTGAGGATCTCGGGGGTGGAACGAGCCCTGCCCAGAGGGCGCGCGCGGCCCCGAGGCCCCACGCGCCTCCGCGAGACGCGCGTGGAGAGGTGGGCGGCCCCCAGGCGGGGCGGCCGCGGCCCCCGCGGGGAAGCCGCGGTCGCGGAGGGACGTATTCAGTCATCGCGGCTGGGGGGGGACCTCTGGGAACCTCTTCCTCCTCCCGTCACACCCCTCACTGTGGCGCACCCCTCACACGTTTCGTGGCCACGTGCGGGGCTCCACCGGAGGCCCACATGCCAGCGCTCGCATGCGGCCACCGCGTCCCTTTTGGCGCATTCCTTACACGTTTCGTGGCCCCACAGGGAGCTCCACCGAAGGCCCCGCATGCCAGCGTTCGCATGCGCCCACCGCGCCCATTTTGGCACACCCCTCACACGTTTCGTCGTTCCGTAGAGAGCTTCACCAGAGGCCCGCATGCCAGCGCTCGCATGCGTCCCCCGCGCCCATTTTGGCAACCCCCTCGCACGTTCCGGGGCCCCATAGGGGTTCCACCGAAGGCCCCACATGCCAGCGCTCGTACGCGCCCATGTCGCCTGTCTTGGCACACCCCTCGCACGCTTGGTGGCCACCCCATAGGGAGCTCCACCAACGGCCCACATGCCAGCGCTCGCATGCGGCCACCGCGCCCATTTTGGCACACCCCTCGCACGTTTTGTCTTATGATGTTCCAACCTACTTAAGCCTCGATCGCCAGAAGCAATTCAGTGCACCACGAAAGTACCGAACGTGGAGGGTTTTCACGTGTCGGGCCCTGGGAGGTGATGCTCGTTCGACATCGTTTCGATATTTCGGTGTGGTCCTTAAGTACGATGGGGGCAACACAAGTTTCGTGGCCCCATATGGAGCTCCACGGAAGGCCGGCCCCACATGCCAGCGCTCGCATGCGGTCACTGCACACATTTTGCCACACCCGTCACACGTTTCGTGGCCACATATAGAGCTCCACCGAAGGTTCACATGCCAGCGCTCGTATGCGCCCATTGCGCCCATTTGGCACACCCCTCGCACGTTTCGTGGCCCCATAGGGAGCTCCACCCAACGCCCCACATGCCAGCGTTCGCACGCGGCCACCGCGTCCATCTTGGCACACCCCTCACATGTTTCGTGACCCTATAGGGAGCTCCACCGAATGCGGTGCATACGACGACGGTGCCCACTACTGCAAATGGGTGGGTCCTGCGCCAGGCTAATTAAAGTGTCCAGTTTGTATGCGAAGGTTCCATTTTGAAAACCTCGGACGCGTACGTATACGTGTGTGTATGTATGTATGCATGCATGCATGCATGCATGCATGTCAATCTGTCTGTCTGTATGTATGTATATATGTATGAACGTATGTATGTATGTCTGTCTGTTTGTCTGTCTTTCTGCCTGTCGGTCTGTCTGTCTGCATCCATGCATGCATGCATGCATGCATGCATGCATGTATGTATGAATGTATGTATGCATATGCAAAGATGTTTGTTTGTTTGTATGTATGTATGCATGCATGCATGCATGTATGTATGTATGTATGTATGTATGGATGTATGTATGTATGCACGCATGCATGCATGCATGCATGCATGCATGCATGTATGTATGTATGTATGTATGTATGTATGTGTGTATGCGCGTATGTATGCTCGCGTGTGAGTATACACACATATATAGCTATATATATATATATATATGTATATGTATATGTATATGTATATGTATATGTATATGTATATGTATATGTATATGTATATGTATATGTATATGTATATGTATATGTATATGTATATGTATATGTATGTGTATATGTGTATATATATATATATATATACCTACCCCTATATTTTCATAAGGCCGGGACCCCTGACCCCCGCCACCCCCCCCCACTTGACGAATTTGGCCCACCCCAGGCCTTTCAGGCAGCCCCCCAGTCGACCTGGGAGGACCTCACGAGAGCCCGAAGACGGCCCCAGAGGGCCCCCGACGTTCCGCCGCGCTCCCGAAACGACCCCCGAGAGCCATAAGACGGTCGACGACGACCCCAAAGGAGCCGCCATACCCCCAAAAGAGACCTCCAAGAGCACTCCCAAGAGGGCCCCACTAGGCAAAAATCAATGATTTTCCGTTGGCTTGTGGTGGATTTGGGAGTTCTCCCCTTTTCGGTTTCCCGAGGCTCCAAGACGGTCCACGAGGCCCACGAGGCCCCTAAGATCGCCCTAAGGTGGCCCGACAGACTCCAAGAGGGCCCGAAACAGGTGATGCTGATGATGATAACCATGATGCTGATGCTGATGCTGCTGCTGCTGATGATGATGCTGATGCGGATGGTGATGATCATGATGATGCTGATGATGCTGCTGGTGATGATGATGCTGATGCTGATGCTGATGATGATGATGATGAGGATGATGACGGTGGTTATGATGATGATGATGATGATGACGATGATGATGCTGCTGCTGATGATGCTTATGATGATGCTGATGATGCTGATGGTAATGATGAGGGTGATCGCAGTTGTGATACTGATGATGATGCTAATGATGATGCTGATGATGATGCTGCTGCTGATGATGCTGATGACGATGATTATGCTGCTGCTGATGATGCTGATGATGATGCTGCTGCTGATGATGATGATGATGATGATGATAGTGGTGGTGATGATGATGATGCTGCTGCTGATGATGATTATGATGATGATGATGATGATGATGATGATGATGATGATGATGATGATGATGATGATGATGATGATGATGTCGATGACGATGCTG